GGAGACGCATGGAGTAGCGCGCTGCTTGAACACAAACTGGGGCCTGATCAACCCCGGTTGGGTCGCCCAGACGAGGGTGTCTGAAGATCAAAGACCCGAAACACCCTATGACCCTGGGTCCTTCACTGACGATGTGTTCAAGCTGCACCGGCTAGGTGTTTCAAAATCTAGCTGACTGGTTCTGATGTTTTTCAATCTTTCATAGAAACCGGTTTCATAAAGAAGACAGACAGAAAGCAGCAGAGCTGCTCTATTGTCTGCCACTGGCAGTAGAGCAATTCTAGAAGCTGCTGATCTATAATCCAACCAGCTTTTCCTGCCAACATCTGTATGGTGTCCTGAAGATGTAAAACTGTTAGAAGCAATCATTTTAGTTTCGTCTGTAAACTAATATGCTTCAATCAAGGGGATCTGCCGTCAGTGTGGATATATTATTGTGTAAAATCAACCAATCAAAGTAGGTAAAAATCTAAATGCATCTTCCATTTAAGCAGGTTGTTCTGTTTGTGAGACTAATTTGTTTTTTAGTTTTAAAAACAGAAAACGTGTGAGAAAGAAGGAGGAACTAACCATTGATTTCTATTTACAGGAAGAAGGCGGGCTTTATTCTGAGACCCCAACAGGAAATTATCAGTGATCAGATCATGAAGTGACACGATGAAGCATGTCTGCACTATCTGCCCTGTGAGTAAAAAAGCTGCTGTTTAAACTTACTACCTACTTACTAATTAATTGTTTGCTCTGTAATAACCTGAGAGTTTGGCCAAAAAGTAAACTTACAGAAAGAACTTCATCATATCAAGCAGGAAGAGAAATTACTTTACTGCCCTCTTTGTGACTCTTAGTAACACAGGATTGGCTTTGAGGCACAGATGTGTGATATAGTGACAGGAAATAATAGTATTATTATGAAAAATAGATTAAATGGGGCTAATTACATTTCATTACAAAAAAGTCCGAACATCTCAGATTGCAAAGGTCTTATAAATCTTTTTATGTTAAACTTTAACAAAATATTTTAATTTCTCCTCAGTTCCCTGTTTGCTGCATAATAAATGTAAATCCCTTTATTGTCCCACAATGGGGAAATTCTTTCTCTGCATTTAACCCTTCCCCTTGAGGAGTAGTGGGCTGCCATCGTGTGGCACCCAGGAGCAATCAGGGGTTAAGGGTTTTGCTCAGGTACTCAGAGTTGAGGCAGTAGGGATCGAACCGGTTGCTTGCAAACTTCTCAGAGCACAAGCACACTGCTCTAGCCTCCAGGCCAGCACCCCCCTTTGAAGGTTGGTTCTGTCAGGCTTCTGTCCTCTTTTTAAGTTTATCTTTAGTTTATTTGTGGTTAGTTTCTAGGAGTGTTTTGTTCTTGAGTTACACTCTGTTGCCCCCTTGTGTGTTTTCTTTCCCCTTGGCTTCCTTTTAGATCCTTCCATCCACACCTGTTTGCTCCTCATGTAAGCTTTCACTAGTGATGGTGAGATAAAGCATCATGAGGCATTGATACGTCGGGTCAAATTGCTTGAACGATCCCTACAGTTCATGAAACTTCATGGCAACATGTTACCACCTACTGTTGGAGAGCAGAGCTGTGATTTTTTTCAATTGTTTTTCTTTCTTTCTTTTTTTTTAAACATTTAAGTTCCTTTGAAATTGTTGATAATTGGTGTGTATGAAAAGTCATCATCAGAATTTTCATCAGAAAATTAAGTCATATTTTTTTTCCTTTTCTATAGTCATGTCAGTGTTAACTGTGAGCTAATATGCCTTAATCATTTTGTATTAGCTGTCAATGCAGATCTATTACTGTCTAAAATCAACCAGTGTAAAGCATGGAAATGTTTCAATCTAAGTGGAAACAGGTCAAAGGGAGCCAGGGGAAATTTCCCCTCCTCTCCTGTGGAACCAACTACCAGTTTTAGTCCGTGAGGCAGACACCCTGTCTACTTTTAAGACTACGCTTAAAACTTTCCTTTTTGATAAAGCTTATAGTTAGAGTGGCTCAGGTTATCCTGAGCTATCTCTATAGTTGTGTTGCTATAGGCTTAGACTGCTGGAGGACATAGGGACCCCATTTCATCATTCTGCTTTACTCTATCTCTATTCTCCTACTCTGCTAAATCTGTTAAATGTCTAACATTACGCTCTCTCTGCCTTTTCTCAGAGTAGCTTCATCTGTTCTGTTCCTGTTTGGCTGTGACTCCATCCCAGAGAGAAAAATCTGCCAGTTTTCCAGGGTAGTCCTGTTTCTCTGACTCTGACTAACTGGATGTGCTCTCTTCATCCTCTGACATAGGAGCTGGCTTGGAGCTCGTCTGCCTGGCTGTGTTTCCTGGATGGGGCCACCTTTTACATTTGCCTTTTGTATCTCCCCTTCTGTCTCCTTAAACCCCAAGCCTGGTTCTGCTGGGGGTTTCTTTCTGTTAAGGTTTCTTCCTGATGAGCAGCACTAAGCTTTTAGAGATCGGACATCTTTTGGTATCTCCTCACCTCAGTGTTGTGTTGTAGCCCTGATGTCCTTTCAGAATAAGTTGAAAAGTGATTGTCACATTCAGTACTTCATTGTGCAGGGTGTTTGATGAGAAAAGGCTCATGTGTTGTATCTGTAAACAGGAATTCAGGAATCTTGGCTTAAAGGCTACAGACCTCATAAACAGCATTTAATTTGTTCTTTTAATCACTTTATTTGAAGTAAAAGAGCTTTTTTTATACACCATTGTTACTTTTTTATTTTGTTAGCTTTTTCTCTCGCAATTCTAAATGCTTGAAAGGAAAATTAATAATACCTGCTGCATGTTTTAGATATCTCCTCGCTGCTGCACACCTGACTTATATAAATCAATAATTACCAGACATCTACAGCCCATGAAGGCTGCTATGGAGGTAATGCACTTATTTGAGTCAGGTGTGCTGCAGCAGAGAGACATCTAAAACATGCAGGGCAGTAGCGATTGAAGAGCAGGCTTGTTACCTCTTGTTGTAAACGGTTTTTTGTTTCTCTAAATTCTTTAGAAAATCTGGAAAAACACCAGAAGCTAACAGGTTGGAGATGAGTTCTTAGAATAGAAAAGCATTTAGACTAATGTTGCCTTAATCAGGTCTTGTAATTATGCTAAATAACAACAGCTGACATGAAGTTGAACATGAACAGGCAGTCATGTCGTAATTTCCGCCGGAAATCTGGGAAAAATCTGTTTCCTGAGCTGCAGAAATGAGGAAACTTTGACCTTTCAACATCGTTGTTAAACATTCTCTCCTGTTTTGTTTGTAGCCTACACAGTGCTGGGACATATTTAATTTGTTTAAATCACTATTTATAAATCTGTTGGTTTTTAAATGACCATTATTGTTTTATTTTATTAGATGCTCTCTATCAGTCAGCTAATGCATTTGATGCATCCTCTTCTTCCTGTAGTAGATGAACCAGGAAGTCTATAACTGTCTTGCCAAAGTAGCAGGTCAGGATAATCTTTGAATCTAACATGTTTAAGTTCTGTGCAACAGCAAACGTATTTGAACACAATGTGCTGCTAATTTCCACTTTACAATTGGAAAGGATCAACTTTACCACATGAAGGCAGCATTAGTGACAAAATGGAAGATGGTAGTTGGTATTATATATTTTAATGAAACTCCTCTTGATACAGCAGGCAGATTACATCAAAGTGTTAATGAAGTCAGACCCTTTCAGCTGCCCACACCCACTGTGGTTCTGCTCTGAAAGTTTCCACTGCAGCGTTTTTCTCAGTCTGTGGTTTCTTGTTCTTCGTTTGCTGCTCTACAGATCAGTGGTGCATCAAACCAGATGATGGTGGTTTGCACTTGATCAAACAGATAAAAGACAGAAACTGAACGAATGTCCATGTGAACAGAGTCTGTTGGATGAAGCAGTCAGAGGGCAGCAGCTGGAGGTCAGAGGTCAGATGGTGGACTACCTCACTGAGGAGTAGATGAGGTCTGGTTCTACTGGAAGCTATGGTAGAAGATCAACACACTCTGGTTAGAAGGAAAGAAAATAAAATGAAATTAAAAAAAAGAACTAAAATTAAGTGAATAAAGCAGAAGGTCAACAATTTACAAACAGCAGAAGGTAAGATTTAAGAATATATTTGTGACATCAACTTATTAAATTAGGAGCATCAGCTTGTGTGGGAGAGAGAGTAATACCAGTAAGCAAAAGCTGGACTGATCTTCACACATAAGCTGGGCTCTGCAGGCCAGCTCTTTGAGAGGCTGGACTCTCTTCTACTCTGGGTTGGACTATTAGGAGAGGCAGAGAGGGTGTGTCTGATTGTCTCTCCCAAATGGTCATAATGGAGTTTATACTAGTGGATGAGACAGTAACACCCCTGAACATTCAGGTGGGTGGGGGGCGGGGGGGGGGTTCTTTCCTTTGTCTCTGCCTATTGGTATGATTAACAGAGGTGGCAAATGGGGTACATAGCTGGATATAGAGGATCAAACCCCCTGTCAGTCCCTTGAGGGGGGATTTCCATCAGTGGTGTTTCATTGTTAGACATTTGTACAAGTCATGAATGGTCCATAATGAAAACAGTATTTAGCATAAGGATGGGATGTGTAGTAATTTGTTGTTTGCTCCAGTTAAATAAATTGATGATCGATGGATTTCACTCAGTCTGCACTTTATTTTTATCTTTGCAAAGAGAGAACAGTTCATCATAAAGCCCTTATTGCTTGGTAATCAGCCTGTTCGGGCAGCATTCGTTCCCCATTACTCACAACAATGGAAAGTTGTCAAAGCAAATGACACTCTGGTTAAACAGTAACATGTTATGAATAAACCTTGAGTAAGAATCTGGTTTGTTAGGGGAAGAAGTATGTCTTGTCAAAAAAACACACCCTCACACAGGGGAATTGTTTGGCCTTGCAGGTGAAACAGACTGAGTGAAAACTTTTATAGTGAGTAAATAGCATAAATTAATAAATGACTTAAGAGAAACTACATTTTCAATCCACAAATGTCAGTCATTGCACTTTCTAACAGTGACTCCATGTTTCAGCTTGAACGGATCAGAACACTAGATGTTCTCTGATCATTTTCAGCTCCTGTTGCAGCAGAAGATCTCTGCAGCTCTGCAGACATGAACATGTCCCCTCCTACCTGCTTGGAGGCCTCTGCTTCCATCAAGGCTGTAGAAATAGATCTGGCTTTGGACAGCAGCTCTGTTCCTGGATCAGTGGTTCTGTATTCACAGACCGACCAGAACTTGATGTCTTCCTCCCTGAACTCTGTCCTGAGGAACTGAGAGAAGGTTTCCATCCCATCTGACAGAAGAAAAACACAATGACAGAAACACTGTTAATGCTGAGAGATGAACAACAGAGAGATGAGAGGAGATCTAACTGGGTCAGACCCATATCCAACCCTGCTGAGGAGAACCAGCCCAGGGTGGGCTTGGTCCAAATGTGACCCAGCACCAGGTTACAGATCAGGTTCTTCTGAACCCAGCAGCTTTTAGTGTTTAATATCCTTTAAAGCAGCTGAATGGGAGACAATTTAAATCTCACCATCCTCTGCTTAACCAGGACATCGTCAATGGTAGTAATCTCAGAGAGACCCAGCCTTCCCTTTACCGAGGTTCTTCCAGCTCCTCAGAGGGAAGATTCAGGCGTTTCAGGACCAGGAAGGAGACATTGTCCCTGGAACCTATTCTGGGTCATCCAGTGTGTTTGGAACACCTCCTTAGGGAGAGGTTCTGACTCATTACAGCTGAGTAAATCACATGAGTCACTCCTTGCAGATGAAAATACAAAAATCTTTTTAATTTATCATGATTAACACCTGATAAACAGCTGCAAGTTTTAGGTTTTATTAACTTAAAACCTTTGCAGCAACTCTCTTAAACAGTAATGTGTATCTGAAACTACGTAGCAAACCACGGGCTTCTTTAACTTTTCTCTGAAACCTTTTACCACAAAGTAGAAAATGACTCTCAAAGCTTAAAACAATCAAACAGCTACAAAGACCAGACCACAGTGAGAGGCCCAACCAGTCTCAGGCAGATGGAAGCTAAAGATAAGGTTTCAAGTCACTTTTCACATCAATGCATCTCTAAACTAGTAGAAAACAAAATGGTAAAAGCTTTGGTTGATCTACTACTGAAGACAGAGACTATTGGATTCAGAGTTATCTGTCTGTGTTTCTAAAGCATGAATTTAATAGTCGAGTTATCCCTAAGCTTTTTGGCAAATATTAAACAAGTTTTTTTCTTTTTTATATATAATTACAGTGTTTCATCCCCCTCTGCAACTGGCTGCTGGACTTCCTCACTGACAGAACCCAGGCTGTCAGAGTGGGGAACAACACCTCCAAAGTCATCACCCTGAACACCGGCACCCCCCAGGGCTGTGTCCTGATCCCCCTGCTGATCACCCTGATGACCCACGACTGCCGTCTGCGCCTCAGGTCCAACCACATCCTGAAGTACGCGGATGACACCACAGTAGTTGACCAGCTACATCTCCATCCGGTCTGGGAGCTGCAGGGCCTCTGACTGCAAGTCTCTACAGAGGGTGGTGAGGACAGGGGAGAAGATCACGGGGGCGCCGCTCCCCTGCATTAAGAACATCACAGACAGGCGCTGGCTATCCCGGGCTCACCAGATCCTCTCTGACCCCACCCACTTCAACCATGGACTCTTTTTTCCCCCCTGGCGTCCGGCAGAAGGTTCTGCAGCATCTTCTGCAGAACGACAAGACTACTGAACAGTTTCTTCCCCCTAGCCATCAGAATGCTTAACGCCACATAACACTCCTCCTGGACATGGACAATACATGCACCTTAGTTTAGCTTTGTCTTCAATTTAATGTTTCATTTCAATAACTCTTCAGTGCAATTTTCAATAAGTGCAATATTTTTTTATTGCAGTTAGTTCTTCAATAACTCAGTGCAATACATATGTATATATATATACTCTTACCCTGTATATAGCTAGCTCTTACTCATAGAAAACATATTTATTGTGCAGGAATAAGGTCTTAGCTCTGTTACACTGGTAGCCAAGTAATCGAAATTTCGTTGTCAAGATTCACCTCGTGTTTTTTGTGCAACGACAATAAAGGGAGTCTAAGTCTAAGTCTTCTAATAAAGATTTTTAATTTAGAATAAAAATAAATAATTTTGTCAAAATCCAAGTCTTATTGGCTTAATTATTTAATAAAATCAATACAGAGGATAGTTCCTGCTATAACCTGAAGACCAGAGCGTTCGAGGTGCAATTTTTGCCTATAATTAAATATCTGATTTAATGAAGTGTAACTACAACTTGATTAAACTTTGTTTCCATCAAGTTTCCAAACTTTGTTTCCAAGATTTGAAGACATTTCGCCACCTCTCCACGAAGCTTTCTCAATTCAAATGTCTGGATCCGCAGTGAGTTTGAGGCTTTAAATAGACAAGGCCTTGTATTGCTTGGAAACATGCAAATTAAAACTGATGAGTGGGTCGTTTGGTTCCATTGTTGGCCTGTAATATCTGAAACCTGTCTATGATTGTTAAGGGTCGGTCATTAGCCGGTGAAGAATACCTCCTTAAAGACCCACCCTTTAACAGGGCACACGACTTGAAGGCACAAAGTGAACTGTTCATGATTTATCCTTTATGGTACGCCAGTATTCATAACATGAAGGCGAATCACTGCCCCAGACATGTGCGGTTATCTTATTTATATATATATGTTGAAAAACAAAGCGGCACGTGTATGATGTCATCAGCGTAAGCCGGTTACTTGGATATAACCTAACGCAGGGGTCTGCAACCTGCGGCTCCAGAGCCATATAGGGCTCTTTGGACCCTCTCCAGTGGCTCTTAATAGTGGCTAAAATCTATATAAAAAGCTAAATAATTTACTACAATATATACCGCTATCAGTAGTTTTAGCGTTTTTTATAAGATGGAAAAGAATGAGCTTAAAAGAACTAGAAATATGAGACATTTTTCTGTGAATTAGCTTGAAAATTATACATTTTAACATAAAAAATATATGAATTGATTGTTTGAGATGGCAACAACTGATTTCCTATACAAGATTAAAAAAAAAAAGGTTTTCTAGAAAAAGTCATGGTATATTTTGCGGCTCTAAACATCTTTTATTTGGTCGTACTCTGAGCAAAACGGCTCTTTGGATATGAAAGGTTGCAGACCCCTGACCTAACGGAATATCTTCAGAACGGTTCCAAATGACACAAAACTAATATGGGTGAGAACATGATGTAATAACGTAAAATCAAGGGGCCAATGTAAAAAAAACTGTTCCCCTTTAACATACATGAGAGTATGTTTCTTTTGCTCCCGGGCATTCTGAAATCCATGTGACGCAATAATCAACTAAGTAACAAAATCCCTAACTGCCACTGTCTACCACTGGTTTAATTCAATTCAATTCAGTTTATTTATATAGCTCCAAATTCACAACACATGTCATCTCAAGGCACTTTACAGTTCAATCAGATAATACAATCCCTATGACAGGCACCGTAGAGCTACAGCTACGCACGACTGCATCAGCACTAGAGGCAGAGAGTTTGGCCCACTCATACTCCACATCACCAGCCTCTGCCAGAATCTGGGAGAAACTTTTCTGCAAGTAAAAGTTTAATACGTCCCTGATCAAACGATCCTCCAGACGTTCCCAGCAGACTTTTACACCACCACTGCGCCTGCTGAGTCTTTTTTTAGCTTCCTCCTCTTCCAGCGCATCCAGCTAGTGACCAAGTGGTATTATGTGGACAGCTACGCCCCTCTCTCTTTATTTGAGTGTCCAAGACATAGAGCCAAAGGTTGAAAAATATGGCTACAAAGTCAATCCCGCCTGAAATGTCCTGGTGCCAAGTGCACCTATTGACATCCTTATTTTTTAACATGCTGTTCGCAATGGATATCCATGGGTGCTGAAGTCTTCTAACAGAAGAATAGAAGAAGGAATCCTGAGGAGAAGAGCCTAGCACCAGTTTCCCATGGTTCCCTGCATGTGGTGGTCCCACTGAGGGATGGCCTGGTGTCAGTCCTACAGACTTGGCCCAGCTGGGTTCTGTAACGAGGAACCCAACCACCAAGCACTCATCACCTAACCCAAATCAAAGACCTGGGTCCAGGATGAGGTCCTGGCTTCGCCACATCGGGGACGTTGCATGTCTCGATTATCTTGCAGTCATGAGATATTCCTTAGTAGATCCTACCAGTTGTATTTATACCAACAACATAGCCTCTGGGATAATCTGGGTGCTGAAATCCCTCTACCATATTAAGCTGGTGGTTCAAGGAGGGAGCATCCATCATTTTACTATTTTTACTAGTTTCCTTAGGGGTGGGATTTAATAAAAAATCTAACAGAGCTTTATTAAATAATGTAAAACAAACTTAAAAAACATCAATTTACTGTTTTGTAATGGTTTGTTGTACAATAACTTGATTAAGCTGTGTTAGATTCTTGCTAATACTCAACAATAGACCTGTAATCATACATGCCTTTTTGTACTTTGATCACTTGTCTAGATAAAAATCTTTCTGGTCAATGGGTGGATTCTAGGATAAAAGATCTTGTGAAAAATATTTNGAGAGAGAGCGCATGTTTTGAGTGTGAGCATTATAAGTTTTGAGTGCAAGAAGATGAAATTCTTTTCTCAAATTGAAATTGTGTGCTCTTGCATTATGGCAGGATAATTCTCCCATAAGTGAACAACCACAGAGCTGCTAGTCTGTTAAACAGAACAACCACAGCTTGCAGACACAGACGCTCCAACATGTTAACCTGGGTCCTCACTGACTCCTTTAAACTCACCAAGGCACTGGATTAACTGGATTATATGAAGACTGTTAGAGTTATGATTATAAAATTATGCTACATTTCTGTGCTGTGATTCAATCAGGAGGGTCGTAGACTTTTGTGACCTGCATCCTGCTATCCTGTGATTCAATCATTAGGTCATGAGGCAAAGTCACACGGTTGCATCCTGCTGTGATTCAATCATTACTGGGTTTTCTGTTTAAGACCCGCCCTATTATGTTGTAAACTGTTAATAAAAGGCTTTGCTGTGAAGGGATCTGTGAGAGAGGGTGCTGTTTTCTGAGCCAGCAGCCTCTGTCCCCTACTGCAGAGGTTAACAACATCCCTATTCTGTGTGGACTCAGTTTCTTTTTATCATGAACCTACAATTTTGAACGTAACAAAGATTATCTCCTATGTTTGATCTTTGAAATATGTTAGAATCATTATAATTTTATAGAAATCTTTTTTTCTCTTTAACATTATTGTACTTTTTAATTTTCCTTTAATTCCTCCTGTTCTTGGTGGAAATGTTTTATCAATAATAAATAATCAATAATATTTATCAGGAATGTAATTCAGTCTTTGCTCTGTCATGTTTAATGTCTTGTTAATTTTATGTCCGCAAATAATCCAAAGGTTGAATCATTCTGATTTTTATAAAATGCTGCTGAATTTATTCTATAGATCTTAAATTGGTTGAATTGTCTGTAAAGTAGCTTCAGATGACAGGTTGTGAATTGGTGCTATAGAAATAAACTTATTGAATGTAATTGAACTTTGTTTAGTAAAAATGGAGTTCACTAGTGGCTAAGAGAAGAAAAACACTTGATTTATGTTATTAATTGTTAATAAATGAAAACTATTTTGGGTAACTTATATATAAAACAAATTTGATTGATGAACTTCTACACAATAAAAACTGACTAAAGTTTTAACATTTATGAAAATGTGGATTAGGAAAATAGTCAGCATCCAGTGATAACATTATAA